TCTACCAGTAGGAAACCAGGCAATCCACAAGAGAAGAATTTGAATAGCAAATAAATATATGAAAAATACTACACTAAAAATGAAGGAAATACACAAATACAACTAGATGTCATTATGCATTAATAAAAAGTCAAAGGATTGATAAAAATCAAGTGTCAGTGAAGGTAGTCATAATTTATTTTTACATTACAAATCACTCCAAAACTCAGGGTGTTAAAACAATAAGCATTTATCAGTTCATTCGTAAGTCTACAGGTTGGCTGGGCGTTCTTGTCTGAGCCACACCATCTGGTTGTGGGTCCTGGCTGGGCTTGCTCACGTTGTGTTCAGCTGTAGGGTTGACTAAAAATCTGCTGGTCTAGGGTGGCCTCACCTGAGATGGCTCTGCTCTGCTCCATGTGGTCTCTCATCCTCCAGGCGGCGAACCTGGATTCATTCACATGGCAGTTGTGGCTGGAATCCCAAGCATGAAAGCAGCAGCTGCAGTCTCTTGAGGCCTGGGCTGAGAGCTTGCACAATATCACTTCTGACACATGCTAATTGGCCAAACCAAGTCATAAGGCCAGCCCCAAAAGACCTCTTAATGGGAGGAAGTACAACATATTATGGCAAGTTTTGCAATCAAACAGCAAGAATGAGCAAACTGGGCATTCTCTTGCACTGTAGATGTGATCATTAACTGAAAAAAATCATTCATGGGTAAAATTTGCCAATATCTAACAAAAAGCCTTTAAATACTTCATAACTGTTGATCCATGTTTAAGAATTTATTCAAAGGAACTGATTTGAAAAGTATATAAAGAGGCATGTGTCAGAATGTTCATCACATCATTCTTTATAATAGCAAGACATTTGGGAAAAGTTAACTATCCATTGAAAATGAATTGCTTATATGGATCATAAACCACCTGGAGAATAGAGTACTATGCAGCTATGTAAAATGATGGCATATGACTATATTCACTGATGTGTTAAGATTTAAATAAAGAAAGTAGGTTACAAAAAGCATGTTTACAGTAATCCTACTTTGGATTTTCAATTTCTATTTTATAACTTTCTGTATCATCCAGGTTTTTGCTTTGTTTTAATTCTGCTTGGGCTTTTTTTATCTGGTTGGGGTTTTTTTAATTTTAATTATATTTTAAATTATGGGTTTCAACATATGCATAGATTTCTGTAACCACCACCACAGCCAGATTTCAGAGCAATTTTGTTACCCTAAAAATTATCTTCTGCAGATTCTTTGTAATCACATCCTCCCAGCACTCCTAAGAGTTTCTTGGCACTGATGGAAAGTATTTATTAATTATGGACATACCACTGAAGGACATTTAGGTTGTTTCCACTTTGGACTGATTATGAATAAAGCTTCTGTAAACATTTGTGTATAGGTTTTTGTGTGAACATAAATTTTTATATCGCTGGGATAAAAGTCCAAGAGTAGAGTACTTGGGTCTTATGTTAAGTATATGGTTTGTCTTATAAGAAACTGCCAAACTATTTTCCAGAGTGACTGTACCATTTTACAATACCACTAGCAATGTATGAGAGACCCAGTTTCTCTACAACCTTGTCAACATACAGTATCATCACTATTTTTTATTATTGCTCTTCAAATAAGTGTGATATTTTGTTATGGTTTTAATTTGCATTCTAATGGCTAATCGTGTGGAATATCTTTTTTTGTGTGTGTGCTTACTTGCCAACCTATTTTGGCAAAATATCTGTTCTTTTACCCATTTTCTAGTTGGATTGTCTTTGCACTTTGTAAAAACTCAATTTGCTATATTTGTGTGGCTCTGTTTCTTAACTGTTTATCATATGCTGCTGATCTGTGTGTCTATCTCTTTGCCATTATCACACTGTTCTGATTATTGTAGCTTTATAGTACATCTTAAAATCAATTTTTTTTTTTTCAAAATTGGTTTGGCTACTCCAGTTGCTGTATCTTTTCATCTAAATTTTAGGATCATCTTGCCTGTATCTACAATCTGTAAAATTCCTCCAAGGAGTTGGATTGAAATTGCATTCAATCTATAGGTCAATTTAGGGAGAATGCTAACTTGGCAATGTTGAGTCTTCCTGAACATGGTATATCTCCCCATTTATTAAAGTCTTTAAGCCCTGGCCGGTTTGGCTCAGCTGTTGGAGTGTTGGCCTGTGGACCAGAGAGTCCTGGGTTTGGTTCCAGCTAGGGGCACGTAGAAAGAAAGAAAGAAATAAAGAAATAAAGAAATAAAGAAAGAGAGAGAGAGAGAGAGAGAGAGAGAGAGAGAGAGAGATACTTAGGTATTTCCATTTTTGGAGCTATGGGAAATAGCAATTTTTAATTCAATTTTCAATCATTTATTGCCAATACAAATAATATTAACTTTAGGGTGCTGATGATGTATCCTGTAGGCATGCTAAACTTACTTATTAGTATTAGGAACTTTTCTTGTAGATTACTTGAGGTTTTCTATGTAGACAGGCATGTCATCTGTGACTAAGGAAAGTCTTATTTCTTCCTTCCCAACCTATATGACTTTATTTTTCGCTTTATTGCACTGGGTAAGACTACCAAAACAGTGTTTATTAGGAGCAATAGGAGTGAACATCCATGACTTGTCCCCAATTTTAGGGGGAAAGAATTTTATTTTTCACCACTAAATATGTTGTAGCTGTAGAATTTTGGTCAGTGCCCTTTATCAGATTAAGGAAGTTTCCTTCTATTCCTACTTTGTTGAGAGGTTTATATCATGAAAAGATGTGAAATTTTGTCAAATGCCTTTTCTGTATCAATTGATACTATCATGTGATCTGTTTCTTTTGGCCTGATAATATAGTGAATTACATTCATTGGTTGTCAAAAATTGAACTAGCCTTGCATTCCCAAAATAAATCACACTTGTTTGTGGTATATTATTTTTTCACTGTATAGCTGTATTTAATTTTCTAATATTTTGTTGAGGATTTTGTGTTCATAAAATATATTGGTCTGTAGTATTTTCTTTTATTGTTTTTCTATGGTTTTGGTATCAGATTAATGCTAGCCTCATAAAATGAGCATGAAACATTCACTACTCTTCTATTTTCTGAAGGCTTTTGTGAAAATTTTGTGTTATTTCTTTTTAAATGTCTGTTAGAATTTTCCAGTGAAATCACCTGAGCCTGACATTTGTTTATTTGTTTGTTTATTTTTGGAAGATTTTGAAATAAAAATTTAGTTTTAGAAATAAATATAGAAACATTTAGTTTATCTATTTCTTTGGTGAGTTTTGGTAGTTTGTAGCTTTCAAGGACTTGGTCTATTTCATCTAAGTTGTAGAATTTATGTACATAGATCTGTTTGTATTCCATTATTGTTATTCTGATATATATGGGGTCTGTAGTGATACCACCCATTTCATTCCTGACATTTGTGTCTTACCTCTTTATTTTTTTTCTCGTCAATCTGGTTAAATGGTTTATCCATTTTAGTGATATTTTCAAAGAACCAGCATTTGCTTTCATTGATTATTCTCTCATTAATTTTTTCAAATATTTTTTTCTGTACCACACTCTTTCTCCTCTCTTTCTAGCATCTCAATGACATGAATGTTTGGCCTTTAGGAATTGTCCCACAGGTCCCTGAGGCACTGTTCACTTTTTCTTTCTGCTATTCATATTGGATAATTTCTGTTCATCTATATTCAAGTTCACTAAATCTTTCTTCTGTCATCTCTCTTCTGCTACTGGGCCCATCCAGAGAATTTTTTAAACTATTATATTTTTCAGTTCTAATATTTACATTTGTTTCTTCTTTATACCTTTTCATTTTTTGCTGATACTTTGAATGTTTATATTTATTTCAAGACTGTTTGCCCTCACTTTTTAGAGCATAGCTGTTTTAAAGTATTTTGCTGATAATTCCAAAACCTGTGTCATTGTGGGGTTGGCATATGTTGATTATCTTTTCCTATACAAGTTGAGATTTTCCTAGGTCTTCCTACGCTGAGTAGTAATTTTGGATTGTAGCCTTTGTAATGCTATATAGTTCTGCCTTGTACATGTACCACCCAGTGGCTCGTCTGAGCATTGGACAACCCATAGTTAGTTCTCAAAGACTATGGTATGATGTTAAGATGAAATCCAAACATGCACAACTAAGAGGTAACTACAAGAGTTTATCCATAACTTTATGGATTTGCTTTCTTGAGCTCCCTCCTCTTCACAATACACTATCCAGTCCTATTGTAAAAAAAAAAAAAAAAAAAAATCTGGGGCTTTAGATTTTTTACTCTGTCAGGCACTTCTCATAACCATGTCTGCTTCTGTAGCCAATCAGTGAGAAGAGAGAGATTAAATAAATAAATAAATAAATAAATAAATAAATAAATAAATAAGAAATAATTTGCCCCCACACTTTGGGAATCATAGTTTCTCTGGTACTCTCCCTCAAAGATGTGTCTCCTGGCCACCAAAATCACTCCGTACTGCTACCAGTAGAATTTCCTGGAGACTGAGTGGGGAGATAACAGAAAAGTGGGGTAACAACAGGGTATTTTCCCCACTCTCTTACTCTCAGAGATTCTCTTTCTTGCTTCATAGGGTGGAATAAAGGGCTTCTCTGCACCCATTGTGCACTTCTGGGTCTGGGGTTGCTGTTGAGTCCATTCGACATAATACCACAGTGGGAAGAGAATGGTAAACTCACTGCCAATTTGGTGATGCTTTAAATTCTAGTCTTCTCCAATGTTCCTTCGGTCATTTCCTTTAGAGTCCTCAAATAGTGAGTTGCCTCATGCACTCTTTCCGAGGTTATAGTTGCACTCAGTGGGAGACCCAAGGTAGAATGTGCTCACTCAGTCTTGTGTGGATCTGAAAACTGTCTGCTGGTTGTTTTAAAATAAGAATAACTTGTATATTCAAAAGAAAGCTCTAAAACCAATTGTGTTTTGTTATTCAAATATCTGTCATGAGACAATGCACCTTTCCCTAGTAGCATCTGGATGGGAATGTCACCTCCTGTTCCTTTACAGGGACACAGCTGACTGTGGAGGTCCACCCTCGAGACGCCATGCCCCAGCTGCTCAAGAAGTTTTCCTTGGCTAAACGTACGTACGTACAGGGCTGCTCATGTGTAGAGGGCTGGCAGGGAGGATTGAGGGCAACTTAATGGGCCAGAGCCCAGCCTGGGTATCTTCTGGGATAAGGAGAGGAGTAACCTGGACCTACACACTGGTAAGAGACAAAGGTATGACAGTTTCATACTGGGGGTTCTCCTTCTTCTCCATACCCAGTAATCACTGTTCTTGAGTGTCTGCAATTCACCGTGGGTAAACAAGGCATTTAGCTAAAGATGAATTGCATCACAAGAGTGCTTTGTTTTTAGATACCATTATTGACTGTCTAAAAAGTAGCATGTGTAGTGCTAAGCTTTTACATTCATTAACATTTTAACCCTTTGACATATACCAGTATTATCCCCAATTTTTAGATCAGCAAAGTGAGGCACAGAAAGGTGAAATAACTGCTAAGTGACCAGCTAGGAAGAGGCTCAGAACCCAGGTCTGACCGAAGCCTGTGTTCTTACTCACCATGTGTGGTTGGCCTCAGTGCAGTGTACACAGGCCCAGGCCCAGGAGCACTAAGGTTTGGTACAGCTCTGGGGTTGTCTGACATGAATTTGCTGGTGCTCTTGGTATCCCCAGCTGTGCTCCTGGGAGGCAGGAGGATGTGGAAGAGGCAGGAGCAGCAAGCTCCAGGCGGGCCCACTGAGTAATCCAAGGTGTTGCTGTCAGAGGAACTGCTGCCTCTGCTCACAGACTGCAGGTGTCTTTCTTGCCATCCATCCTTGGTTCCCAGTCTTCCTTCTGCCTCACCAGGAAGTCCAGGGCAACTACAGTAACAGTTTGGTAGGGGGTGGGGATGGGAGCAAGAAGGCTCTGAGAAAGAGAGTGAAGGGGAGGGGTCAGAAGCAAGGACCACTGCACAGAGAATTGTCTGTGCTTGCATTTCTATTTCTTCTGAAATGTCTCCACATCTGACCTTTGGGATATTGTATGTTTACAAGGTGATAAAAATGGAAACACAAGACCCCGGCAGCCTGGAGGGAAAGATGCCCATGGTAAGTTTCAGGGCCTTTTCTGGGGCCATTCTCTGAGACTGGGAACTGGTTTAGCCTCGTGGGGAATCTCCAGTCAGTTGAGAGTGGCTCCCTGGGTCGCTGTGCTGAGAGTCAGGGGCCACCTCTGGGCTCAGGGGAGGGGGAGTAGTGTGATTGATTAGCAATGTCTGCCTTGGACCCAGGGAGAGGTGAAAAGCTCACACACCAGATATGAGCCCAAAGTTAATGCACAAACCCCACCAATAACAACACAGCCCATTATGAAAAACATGGTACAATGAGACTCTAGAATTGTGTTCACTTTAAATAGAATACCAAGCATCTATAAGGTCAACGGCATGTAAATAAGCAGAGTGGGGCAGAGGAAGAAACCCTGAATGGGGTGATAGACAGCCTGGGTTCGAATCCTGTTTTTGTTTCCCACTCACCTTTCCTGGGCCTCAGTTTCCCGACCAGATAGCATCTGAGGTTTGGTACAGCTTGGCACTTCTCCCCACTGTTTTGTTTTAAAATTAGGATAATTTAGTTAATGCCACTGGTATTTAAATGTATTTGTGCAAAATCATATTTGGATTTATATAATCTGCTCAGAAGGCAAACTTAATGAGGCATAAATCATTATGGGTAATTTTAATGTTCAGATATTGTAAAATAGAACCAAGAAAGGCTAAAACTAGTAATAGGGCTTTCAGTCCCATTTTAGAAATGCCATCTTTCTTCAAAATGGGGGCAGGGAGACCTCATTTGCAGAGCTGTACTGAGCAGAAATTGTTCGATGAGTAAGTCCCCTTCAGATCCACTTAGGTCACCCTGATGGCCCTTGTCAGAGAATGGCAGAAGCCAGATTCCACAGAGGGAGAGGGCACTGAGAAGTGGGGGAGCTCAGCAGGCCTGCCCCCTGTCTCCGCGCCCTTCTGAGGGGCTGGCTGGGCCAGGCTGCACTCGGGCCACGCAGCACAGGGGCTAACGGTGACCTGAGCGATGGGAGACAAGAAGTCCCAGCTCCGCACCAGAGTGGTAACCACGACAGTGCTGAGCGTCACGGGAGCTCTGATGTAAGACTGTGCAGGACAGCAGATTTGGGGTGTGGGGCCCAGAAAACGTCTTAGTCCTTGTAGAAGAAGTAGAGGAAGAAAGAAAATGCTAGGTTGCTGGGCAAGGCCATGGCGTCCCGGTAGGGACCTCGGAGCAGTGGGAGATGCAGAAGGATCCATGCGGCCTGCTTCTGACCACTGAACTTGACCAGCGGCTAACCAGCGGGCACGGCTTCTCCTCCAGGGCTGGCCCAGAGCGGGTCAGGCCAGAGCTGGTGGTGACCCCCACCCTCCCCTTCTCACCACACCCATTGCATCTGCAGCACCACGGTACGGGACTCTCAGCCCTCGGGGAGTGTGGGCAAGTGCCCAGGCACAGAGGCTCCCTCCCTATTCCCCTTCACATGCCTGCAGAGGACCCCCATCCTGCAGCCTCCAGGAGCACAGTGACACTGACCTTCCACCGGGAGCCACCATCTCATTCACCCTCCCAGGTGCCCCAGAGATGTGTGCCTGAGGCCCAGTGGCTGAGTCCAGCAACCCCCAGTGAGGTGGAGGTTGGGCCCCAACTAGAACCCATGCCTTATGCTGCCCCCTAGACATTCTCCCACATCGCTCTACTCTTCCTGGGTTTACTGCTGCACCCTGAACCCCACCAGCACCCCTTATTCACCCAACATTCGGAGGCTCCTGAGATGCCTGGCTGAGTCAGGTGGTCCACGTGAGTCAGGGATCCCCGGTCCCTCCCCCTCTAGCCCTCCCTGTCCTTCCACCCAGCTTGTCTGATGTTGCTCAGCTTGGCTCAGGGGGCCTTAAATAAGGGGCTCCTGCCATAGTCCAGACTCTCTTCCGGGGTGGTACAGGGGTTTGCTGCCATCCATCACTTGGCCGCATCACTGGTGAATTAGCCCTGCAGCATCTGACTGGGCCTGTCCTGTGTCCAGGCTTTCTATGAGAAAAACTGAACATACATGAGTGATTCTGGGGCGCTGGCTCCCTCAGCAGCCTCCCCACAGTGCCTCGGTGCCTGTTGTCAGAACACTTGGCTTTCTGAGGTGCTCCAGTCTCCAGCTGACCGGGGGGCAAGAGAGAAAGCCTATCTGGGTGCCAAACCCACCTCAGCCTACCTAGGCCCAGATGACCTGCCTCCACCACCCCCTTCCCACTCCCAGGATGCACTGCGGCACCATGGCCTCGGCACAGACCCTCCCTCCTTGAGCTCATCAGGGCCTAGCAGCACTGCCTGGACACTTCCCACAGAGCACTTATTCCTAGAAAAGTTAGCAGGGGTCCTGCGTAAAAGTAAATGGTGGGGAGAAGGTGATGTCATCATCTGTCTGTCTGGGGACTGCTGAGTTAATTGAGGTGAAATCAGTTTCTTTACTGATGGTTTCATAGGGTCTGCAAATAGGCTTATGTTCCCTGTGAGTCTCCAAGAGGACTACAGGAGTTGCCATGGTCCCCAAACCAATCTGACCAAGGAACCTTTCTACGAGAGTTTCAGGCTCCGGAAATCACGATGAAGGTCGGGCAGGCACAGCTTCTCAAAAAGACAGGGAGGCCTGGGCCAGGCGCCCTCGTCAGCAGGTCCCCACACCTGACCAAGCCTCCCTGTGTTTCCAGCCTACCCCTGGGATCGGTCCAGCCTGAAGTCCATGCCCCTGGACCTGCGGCAGTTTGAGAAACTGGACGCTTATGCCTCACAGGTAGGAGAGCGGGCCCCTCTGCCTACAGGTCCTCCAGGGTGGCTTGGAGTTCAGCCTTTCCCCAGGCCCGTCCTGAATATCTTGCGTCCCTTGAATGATGGCCCAGGGTGCCTTTTCACAGTGTAGGGATGGGGGACAAAAGGCCCAAGATAGCAGGTCCCTGCCCAGGACCAAAGTCATTCCACCCACACCCGCCCCACCCATGATCCCGATGCTCCCCCAGGCTGCACACCCTGCAGCTACTGCTTGGCAGGCCTCTCTGGCCACCCTACCCGCCCTCTCCCTGCCCATTTGGGCATTGCTACAACAGTCCGGGAAGGAAGTGAGCGAGAGGGTGGAGGAGAACCATAGATGCAGATGGCCAGCACCCACTGTCACCATAGCCAAGCTCACTCCTGGAGCATGTAGGCTGCTAAGCTCTCACATCTCTGGGCCTGGGCACATGTGGTGTGAGGGTGGGGAGGGGCAGCTACCAGAGCTGAGGCACTAGGGGCATACTGGGGACATGGGAGCCAAGGGGGCCCTCACCACAGAGAATCTGATTGGAGGGGCCAAGGAGCTGGACCCGCCGGTGAGCTGTCCTAGCTGGTAGGCCCGGAGAGCATGTACAGGCTGCTGGCCAGGCTCAGAGAGCAGTGCCAGGAGCCCAGCTGAGGCCACAGACATGGCCACGGAGTAGTGGATGGCTGGAGCCCTCCAGGCCCAGGGAGAGCCAGAGGTGAGGACGGAAGTTCGAGGTTAAATCAGGAGTCAGCCCGGCCATACTGTGGGCCTGCAGGATGTTCTAGGTGCTGGGAAAGGAACAAAGACAAGCACTGTGGAGTTGGAGATGGACACAGAAGAAGAGAAGCAGAGTGAGTAGGAGACAGAAGGGACCCAGAGGTCTCCTGTGGTTAGAGAGTGGGTCCCGGGGTTCCGATATGAGCGGTGGACAGTTGCAGGAGATAATACCCTAGGGTGGGGGCTGAAGGATGTGTGGGCAGCTGTGGCCCACCTGAACCCCCAGTTGACCCAGTTTCTCCAGAAAGATAGGGTTGGAGCAACCCCAACCCAGTTTCCTCCTGAGGGCCCCACAAGAAAACCTCATTTGTTCCTTTCTTTTTGTAACTGTGATAAAATATATATAACATAAAATTGTCATTTTAATCATTTTTAAGTGGCATTAATTTCATTCACATTGTTGTACAATGTTCCAAAATCAGAAACTCTATACCCGTTAAGCAATAACTCCCCATCCTCCCTCCCACTGGCCCGGGTAAGCCCTGATTTACTTACTGTCGCTATGGTTTACCCATTCCAGATTGTCGTCTAAGTGGAACATACAATATGCACCCTTTCGTTGCTGGTTTATTTCACTCAGCATCTTGTTTTCAAGGCTCACGCATGTCGTAACACGTAGCAGAACTTCTTTCCTTTTAATGGATGAATAATATTTCATTGGATCTATCACATTTTATTTGCCCATCCATCTGTGATGGACACTTGGGTGGTTTCTACCTTTTAGCTGTTGTGAAGAAGGCTGCAATGAATGCTTGTGAACAAGTATCTGAGCCCCTGTCTTCAGTTCCTGTGTGTATGTACCTAGGCGTGGAATTCCTGGATCATATGGTCGTTCTATGTTTAACTTTTTGAGGAGCCGCCAAACTGTTTTCCACAGCAGCTGCACCATTTTACATTCCCACCAGCAATGTACAGGGTTCTAATTTCTCGACATTCTTGCCAGCCCTTCTCATCTTTTTACTGTCGCCATCCTAGTCGGTGTGAAGTGGTATCTCTTTGTGGTTTTGATTTGTATTTCCCTGGTGACTAATGATGTTGAGCATCTTTTCATGTGCTTATTGGCCATTTCTGTATCTTTGGAGAAATGTATATTCAAGTCCTTTGCCCATTTTAAAATCGGGATGTCGTTTCATTGTTAGTTGTAGTTCTTTATATAGTCTGGATAGTAAGCCCTTATCAGATGTATGATTTGCAAATATTTTCTCCCATTCTGTAAGTTATCTTTTCACTTTCTTAATAATGCTCTTAGGTGCACAGAAGTTTCTGTATTATTATGAAGCTCAGTTAATCTATTTTTTTTCTTTTGTACCTTGTGCTTTTGTTATCATATCTAAAAGTCCATTGCCAATTCAAGGCTATGATGATGTACCCTCATGTTTTCTTCTAAGAGTTGTATAGTTTAAGTTCTTATGTTTAGGTCACTGGTCCTTTTTAATTTTTATATGGTGTGGGGTAAGGGTCCAACTTTATACTTTTGCATCAGATATTCAGTTGCTCAACACCGTTTATTAAAGAGAATATTCTTTCCCTTATTGAATGGACTTGGCAGCCTTGTCAGAAGTCAGTCAGCCATTGATATAGTGTGAGTTTATTTCTGGATTTTCCATTCTAGTCCATTGGTCTATATGGCCCTATGTCAGTACCACACTATTTTGATTACTGAAGCCTTGTAGTAAGTTTTGAAATACACTCCAGCTGTGTTCTTTTTTCGAAATTGTTTTGGCTATTCTAGCCCTTGCAATTCTATATGAATTTAAGAACTGGCTTTTCCATTTCTGCAAAAAAAAAAAAAAAAAAAAAAGGCTACTGAGATTTTATAGGGATTCTGTTAAATCTGTAGATTGCTTTGGGTAGTATTGACCATAACTAGCAGCTGCTACAGCCAGACAGATACCCACCTGGCTGGTCCCAAAATCTGCAAAGAAAGATGTAGTGGCTCTAGGGTCAGTGACTCAGCTGGTCAGCGTTACCCACCACGTCCAGCCCCCACACCAAGGGTCACCCTAAGCCCAGCCTTTGTCCCTCTGGGCCTCCGCTCCTCTTCCTTTGCCTGGAGGAAAGAGACCACTGGCTGCAGGTGGCAGGGTGCTGGGCTCCCCACAGCCCTCGTCCAGGCCCTGACACAGCACACCCCTCCCACCTCCAGGTGACGGTCAAGAGTGGCCTGGACGAGCTGGTGAACGACCTGCTCCAGGAGGCCCACAGTGACCTGGAGAGGGTCCGTGCCATCTGGATCTGGATCTGCCACCACATAGGTAGGACCACCTGTGGTGTCACTGGTTCTAGGACCCCTTGACGCCACTCCTCACAGCCCGTCCCCAGCGCAGTATCTGGGGCTCACTCAGTCACCAGTGAGTGTGGAATGAGACGAAAGATGGAGGACAGGGGCTCCCAGGTGACTAGATTGAATAACCTAAGACTAACCAAGCAGAAGAAGTCACCATGTGCTAACAGTCTCCATGACGGGTCACTGGGTGAGGAGTCCCACGTGGCCCTCTGCCCACAGCCAGTGGCCACAGCTGAGGCCCATCACCTAACAGCCACCTTCCCTCAATCCTGGCTTCCTGGTAAACCTGCTCCAGAGAGATGAGAAACCAGCACAGAAGGTTATCTTCGAAAAGGATGACAGTTCGTTGGGGAGAGGTCGTTGCTGTTTGAAAAGTTATTGCAACCAGAGGCTGCTTACAGCAGCAGTGTCGGGAAGGTGGGCTCTCCTCTCCCTGCTCCCGTCTCCCACTGACAACTTCGGGCACCGGACTCAGCCCGTCTCCTACAGCTCTTCACAGCACAGTCTTGGGAGTTTGGCCAGATCAAGCCAAGCCCCACAGGTGGTTGCTAAGAGGATAATGGATGCTGCCCCTTGCAGTCAAAGGAAGAACCAGATGGTGGGTGGACTTTCAGTGTTTAGCCCGTGACATAGCAACCCTGGGGGTGGGGGGGGCACTCTCCTGACCTGCTACCACTGGGCTTCTCCTCTGTCTTCCCAAAGCAGCAGTTAGAGATGTAGCTGGATGAACTCAACTGACACAAGTAGGGGGTGTGACCATAGGCCTAAGGGGCCACCTGGTCCTACCCCAACCCCAGCAGCTCGGCCTGGGCTTTAAGAGGGCAGGATCAGAAACAGAATATTTGGTAGACTTTTTTACTGCACACACACACACACACACACACACACACACACCTTTGTGCCCTCAGTGGCCACTGTGCCTCAAGCTCTCTTAGTGAGGTGACAGGCTGTAGGAGAGCAGTCTTCCCTGTTTGGAGCAAGCCTTGACAGTAGCTCAGTGCCCCTTGTGGGTCAGCGTGAGGCCTTGGCTTTGGGGGCCCAGCAAGGACAAGAGTAGCCTCACTGGACCGGCCTGCAGAGCTGAGTGGTGGTGGGGACAAGTTCACACAGTCTCCCACCCCCAATGCTTCGCCCAAATTCGAGAGAGGCCCAAATACTGCCAACAGCACAGCCGGGGGCCGGGGCCATGCCACAGGCTGTGGACCCCCCTCCTCTGCATCTGCCTTGAGGGCCTCCCAGAACCTTTTTTCCTCACAGCCTCCTTCTCTGCCCTCCAGAGTACGACGTCGAGGCTGCCCAGGAGAAGGACCGGCAGGCCTTCAAACCCAGCAACATCCTGCAGACCCAGAAGACCAACTGTGATGGCTATGCCGGGCTCTTTGAGAAGATGTGCAGGTACCAGAGGGTCCTGCAAAAGGCAGACAGTCCCGGGGCTGACACCTCCCCTCCCCTCCCCCACCCCTCTTCCGAAGTGCTGTGTGCCTTCGCCCACATGCCAGCCCTGAAGCCTGAGTTTGCAAACTCTGCTCTGGAATCCAAGTGAGTCCTGAAAAGGTCAATTCCTCCCGCTTTAACACCAGCATAATTGACTTTGTACCATCTGCCGAGCTTCGCGATGCATTAACATAATGGCAGATGAATGCACAGAAATAATTTGGTTATAAAAGGCCCCTTTTCCACCCTCTCCCATCTCTGTGCAGCTGAAGGTTAGAAGAATGGCAGATTTGGGAACGGGAGGACAGTGGCTGCTGACGCCAAGGGAACTGTGAAAGGCTTGTCCTCCAGTCTGGCACTGGAGGCCCCTCTCAGGGGAAACAAAAAATCTCCTACCTGAAGAGGTTTGTCAGCCAGAAAAGCTGAATAACTAGGAGGCAGCGTCTGTCTTGGAGCCTTTGGGCTCCGTTGCCATTGCTCTGGGGGTGAGCACCTGGCCAGGTTTGCTGGGTGGGTGACAGCGGCTGAGTGGCCCATAAGAACATCATTTGTGTGTAGTCATCATCGCCAGTTCCGGTGACCTCAAGGCAGACTTGAGGCTGGGGGAGCCGCACGGATCCCCGCAGCTCCCTGTGCCTGCTCTCCGAGGTCTGCTGGGTTCCCCAGGAAACAGTCAGCCAGCCCCCGGGCAACTGGAAAGCCCTCTCCACAGGGGAGGGATGGACTGCTGCCCACTGTCCCTGCAGGCTTCTGGGAATGGGTCTTCTTAGGCACCCATCCGGCAGCCCCAGCTCGGCAGGCGATGAGTCATCAAACCAAGTGTAGCAACAAACACTTGGAGTCCGCAGGCGGCTACAAGGTGTCCTACTCAGTTAGACCAGCTGTTTGCCTCCCACCCCCCATGTGCCCGACCCCTGTGCTGTGCTGACACTCTTGCTTGTCCCCTCCCCTGCCCCCAAGGTTCACCCCTGAGACCACAGTGCAGAGGCGACCAGGGCAGGGCAGGGCAGGGTGCAGAGGATACCAGCCCCTCCACTCTCCATTCACTCCACCAGAGCAGCCCTCGCCACCCCTAACGTTCCCACTGCCACCCCCACCCCAGACCTAGGTGCCCCAAGTTCCTTTGGGCCTCTTCAGGAGCTGGGATCTTCCCCAGCCCCCCGCCCAGATTCCCCAGGCCCCAGATTCCTGAACAAGACTGACCTGTAAAGTCTTCCAAAACCTGATCTTACCCACCCTTCCAGTCCTGCGCCCTCTGATGCCTCCAGACTTCCAGAACTCACCCTGCTCCCCTCTCCCCAGTGCTCCCTCCAGGCCCCACGCCAGGACGTCATCAGCACACCTTATCCACACGCTCACGTCTTGCCTTACGCTTTTATTGAATACGTTTTCTAAATTCAAAATATACTTGTTAATTATAGGCGATGTATAAAGTGCACAGAAACAAAAAGAAGCAAATTAAATTACTCTGAATCCCACCCCATAAAGATAACATTTTGTCATATTCCTCGTGAGCTTTGTTCCACCATAGAGGAGTTAATCTGCGCTCATTCCCTCGCCTGTGTCCATGGGTCGTTAGCACCGCCCTCTGTTTCCCCTGTCACCACCCATCTCAGAATCCTACCCGCAGTAGGCCCCCAAAGTCAGGAGAGGAGAGGATATTCCAGCCAATGTGGGCAAAATGGACCTTATTCTCTTCTTCAATGTGGAACAACCATCGATCTGTCTGCAGCTCTATTTGTGTGTAGCATCTTTCAGACCATAATTATTTTTACCTGACTTTGCAAATGTGCAAACACTCGGGGTTTTGAAGCCACAGCGTATACCCTTCTCTGTCCAGGATAGGCTTCCTAGCAGGGTATAGAAGAAGTGCCAGATCGAAAGCCAGAAGGCTTCCCCCGTGCTCAGTTTCCCAGTCCTTAGAGTACCACTTACTAGTCTTGTTCCCTTCGGAAGGCACTTACCGTCTCAGAGCCTCAGTTTTCTCATCTGTCCACTGGGACTGTGTTGCCTGCTGGAAGGGCTGTAGGACTAAACGAGGACATGCAGTTTGGGGTTTGCTACCCCGACTTTGGAATTGTTTTTTTAAGCGTTCTTGTCTCTCTTGAGTGCTGAAGTGCTTCTGCTCTGTGGAACGTCCCTACAGACCCACAGAGACGTGGCAACTCAGAAAACCGACACCAGCCTTGAGTGAAACTGTCAGCTTTTGGCCCGGTCCAGACGTTTAACAAAGGCCACCTTCTGGCCTGCAGCTGATCATTAAAATACATTCTAACATTCTGCATCATTTAAAGTTAGGTTCCAGCATGGCAGTTACCAGATGTAAGACTCCTGGCGTTGCCCTGGATGTTTAACCATAGCTCACACTTCCTTGAATCCCTTTAACTTCTGCTTCGAACCTCAGTAACCTCGTCCAGGCATCACTCCCCTAATTCCCCTTACCTTTCAAAGAACTGCCGAAGGTTTGGTAAATTCATTAGCTGATTCCTTAACAACCGGAGACATGTCATCCACACTTGCTGATTTATCCCTGCCTAGTTGTCAGAATGTTCTCTTAGCAAGAGTTGTACCCACACGGCCATCATTACTGCTGCCAGTCCCTTCTGCCTCCCTGCAATGGCCTCATTAAAGACTGATTTAATAAAGTAATTTGGTGGGGAATTCAGAGATTTTCACAATATCATTCATTTCCTCATCGTCTTTCCCAAGGAGCCGATGCGAGGTTATTTGTTGATGCTGTAGCTTGTAACTGTTGGTTCACTTCCTTTGGACTTTCTATCATCCAGTATTAATGTCTTTCCTTTTGTTTCAATCAGCACAGCTGTAATGAATTCTGCTTAATTTCCTTGCAGGGCCAAGTTTAATTCCCCAGATCCCTGCCCCTGAGTCAGCCTCCAATACGTTCCCTTGCCCCGTTATCACAGCTATAGCACCAGCTAGCAGATTTTCCAGAGATTTTTTTTATATATATAAAGCCAGGAGCTTATTAGCAGCTTGAGGCTTTGATGCTGAGGGGACTGGTTGTCACCCATCAGATGTCAGTTGGTTTTCCGTCCATCCATCCTTCAGCTGTCACAGGGAGCAAGTGCCGTGGCATGCCTCTGCTTCACATGACATCCTGGTGATCCCCAAACATCTCCTATTTCCAAAGGCCTCAAAACTGGGGAGTGGCCTTCTCAGCATCCTGAGAGAGGCAGATACGTTGGATAACCTGAAAGTATGCCCAAATATGACGTTGTCATATAAGGCCCCCAGAAGAGACCTCCAAAGTCTGCCACCATTATAGATACATCAAAGGACAGTGCTCACAGTTATGAATGATATCACTATAGCAAGCCACCCTTTAATTTAGCTCTGTATACCACCCATAAATTTATAGATTAAAACATAGCTTGGTGAACAAAAGGGCTGGTGCAAGGCACAGCTTCCCAAACTGGGGGCGTTAGGGCAGCTGGGTCCTAATGCTGCTTTGGCCACTGATTGGCTGTGCGCCCCCAGGCAAGTCAGCCTCCTTCTCTGAACCTCTGTCTCCTCACCTGTCGGAGAGGAGGCCCCTGAGGTCACACCTCAAGAGGCTCTCAACAGCGCCTTCAAGAGAGAATTATTACTGCGATTGCACTCACTGACCTCACCCCAAGGATGATGTAAGAAAAGGGAAAGGGGAGGAGATAGCAGAACTATAAAGATACTTTCCAACTTACAAGAACCAGCTACATAAATCGTGACACGTAAGTCACGGCTGTGCTTGTCCTGCTGCAGAATGGAAATCACAATATGTCTGGGCTGGTTTAGAATTTATCTTTATTATGATGATATTAACCTTCTCGAGGACCATGTTTATGGAACAGCAAGGCCCTACGACTTCTAAATCACATATGCTTGCCCAGTGAAAGTGAACATTAGGCTTAAAGTTAATGAAGCCATATTTTCTAATTTCACTACTGAAATCACAACATTTTTCAACAAGATACCAACAAAAGACCAGGCTTTGCTGCCTCTCCTGCAACCACCATTCCTCCCTCCAGCCCTCTGGCCTTCCCCACACGGTTCAGACACACTGGGATAGGTGTCCGAGCCAGGGCAGTCCGTGATGGTCAGAGCCTGGTGGTGCACCCTGCCTGGCAGTGTGGGGCTGAAGCAGCATCACAAGGTTCCTATGGTGGGCCCTGGACCATCTCTGCACAAAAGGACAGTCACAGTCTGCGTCCTCCACCTCCACAGCTAAAACCATTGGCTTTGAGATTTTCAAAACTGTCAAAGGTACAAACTAAGATTCTGCAGCCTGTGCTTATGAGACAGATCTCCCCTGGTGATGTTTTGAGCTCTAGGACAGCTGGTCTGAGCGCTGTAGGAGGTGGGAAAGTTTCTCATCCTCTGCCCCTTCTTCAGGGCTCTGCCAGTTCTTTCCAGCAAATTCCTCCTCCTTTGGCTTTCCCAGGGCTTTGTTTATTATCACTAGCATGTGAGTGGCGGTTCACTTATCTGCCCTGTTCCAACTTCCAACTACGAGCACATCTAGGGCAGTCAGTGAGCCTAATTTTTAGAATATTATATTTTATTATATTGTAGTATTTATGATATGATATTATATAATTCTTTGGTGCCTGGGACAGTTCTTGACTCATAGTATCAGTGATTTTTCTGATGGCATGAACTGGTCCTGGGCCACCCTGACTAGCTACCAGCAGCTGGAATTACTAGTTCCACAATGTGGCATGAGAATTATGGAATATTAACTATAATGCTTTACATTATGGCTGCTTTGTCCAATTTATCTTGCACATTGCTGCCAGGTAATAAAATATCTTCATATCATAGTCAAGCACGGCATAAGCTTATAGCTGAGTTTATTTTTTCATCTTTATTCTGCCCCAGGCATTCCCCACGGCCCTCCCATCGCCTCCTCAGCCTGTCAGAGGAGAATCAACCCCCAGAGATCATTTAATGCCAGCTTTTCTTTTTGCCTGTAATAAGCCTGGCAAGGTGACACTAGAGGTGACCACTAGAGCCGGGAGTAGAGCTGTGTGCAGCCCAGTGCCTGCCCACTTCAGCCTGGAGCACCCCAGGAGTTAGAGCTCCCCTGCCCAAGCCTGGGCAGGTTCTCAGATTTTACCTCCCGTGGGAGGGCACCCAGCAGGATCCTCAGGCAGAGTTGAAAGGGGCTCCGTTGCCCCGAGAGCCCCTCCTTCCTTCCCTGACTCCAGGGGGCTCTGAGGGAGGAGGCACGTCAGTGGGCGGGGCTCCACTCACCAGCCTCCCTGCAGAACAGGCCGCTCCCGCGCCTCCACCTCGGACTAGGAGTCCAGATGCACAGACATGCTGGGCAAGCAAGGAAAACACCTCACTGCAGAAAGTAATGTCAAGTGGTATTTATGAATTTTTTCCAATCCCAACAGGAACATATAATCACTATTGAAAAGTTAGAAAATACAGAGAAGTTCAAAGAAAAAAATTTAAATCACCCATAATCCCTGGTGACTTTTGCTCTCTCTGCCTCCCCACTGCCTCTCGACCTCCATGGATGTGTGTGCGGCATGAGCGCGCGCACACACACACACACACACACACAGCGTGCTGATGGTGGAGTTTTACAGGCTCTTGTCAATTATAACTGCTTCAGGAGCATTTCTCACCTCGCTAAAGATTGCTCACAGCCTTTCTGCTCCTCCCGCTCTCTGAGTACGTGGAGCGCTCCTGTTGCGGCCCAGCCCCCACAATACCTCCTTCCCACCCTCTGGCCTTGCTTTGGACCCTCCCTTCTCGCTGGCGGTTTCTCTAGGACTGTGAACGTGTTCAGACCTCCTCATCCTGAGAACGAGCCCCCTCAGCCCTAGGTTCCCTCAGCCCTGCACCCCTGAGCCCCTTTCTCTGCAGGGAAATGAGGCAGGGCTGCCCTCGCTCTCCTCTTGCGGCCCCGCCCTGCCTGCTGGGCCTCTGGCTCTGAGCTGCCCCTTCTGCTCCCAGAGTCAGTACTGATCTTCACCAGCAGAAAATCTAGGCATCAGGATCCAGTGTCTCTTGCTTTCTGACCCCGTCCCCCACGTGCTCCCGAAATCCTTCCCACAGGGCCCAGGGGTCTTAGACAGTCTGGGAGACCAGACCTCCTTCTGTGAAGCTGCAGGTGAAGATGGGGTGCCCCGGCTGCCCAGCCCACCCGGAGCACCATCTAAAGAGCCCCCGTGGCCATCCCAGACAGCGCAGATCCGTGTATTTGTTATACTAATCTTCCATGAGTGAAAGGAAAGTGTCTCACAGAAGGGGCAACTTTTCCCAATTCACACCAAGGCCCAGAAGGGCTAGCATGGGGTGTCCCCCTCAGTCAGACAAGCAGTTCGCCCCCTCGGCTGCCATTTGGGGGGCTAAAATACTGGAGAGGAAGGCCAGCTGACCCTCATAGGACTGTCAGAGCTCTTGCCTGGCCTTGGGGTGATGCCGACCGCTCAGATCTGGGCCTCGGGAGTATAGCTACAAACACCCCGGTTGCAGCTTGCCAGTGGTTTCTGCGGTTCCCAGGTGTGGCCGGCCCCCGTCTCCTGCTGCCCAGGCCCCAGGAAGTGTTGCCAGCTTGGTTGTGAGCAGCAGGGGGGTTCACCGTCAAGGGGGCTGACCCATGCTCCACGCCCCAGAGTTCACTGTGGGGACTCCAACACTGGCCGATGCCATCAGTCAGCAGACGACCTTATTGCACGGTGTGGCCCTGGCAGTCAGACCAAGCGATCCTGGGATGGGCCTGTCCTCCCGAGTCAGGGCTGCAGACACAGGCTGGCCCGCCCCAGGGGTCCCCGAACAAAGGTCCTTGAGCAGGGGGAGCAGGGCTCAGCGTTCTTCTGCACCCTCACCCCCAGCGCACCATCCTGACACCTGTTCGTGTCACCTAGACCCAGCTCCTCAGGCAGACACGTGCTCAGAGCGTCTCTGGTTCTGCAAGAACGTCTCCACTTCCCTGGTTCCCATGCTCTTGAGGGTCCTCACTGTGGCGCTCAGTGTCCCCAAGAGGAGCACCAGGCAGACTCTGGGGGGAGACGTCTTAGTTCGAGGGAGGAGCAGGCAGCAGGACTACAGCCAGTCTTCACCAGCAGGACCGCCAGCCCCGTGTCCCTGTCCCCTGTCCCCTGCCCTGGACATAAGAGCCCTCAGGCTGTAGATAGGTGCTCTGTGAGAGGTAAGGAGGAGACACAGAAGGACTCGGGGACAGCAGACACACCTGAGGCCTCAGGCCACGGGCAGACGTGGGGGCACCCAGCAGGGGCCAGCTCTCAGACCCCCTGTCCGCCCCCAGAATCGCTGGAGTGCAGTGCGTGACCGTGCCTGGCTACTCCAAGGGCTTTGGCTACCAGACGGGGCAGAGCTTCTCCGGGGAGTTCGACCACGCCTGGAATGCCGTGTACCTGGAAGGGAGATGGCACCTGCTGGACAGCACCTGGGGCAGTGGCCTGCTGGACACCACCACCTCCAAGTTCACCTTCCTGTAAGTACAAGGCTCAGTGTGCTGGGTGTCTGGCCCATGGAGATGGGGGAGATCAAGGTTGAAGGAGGCGGCACGAGGGAAGAGCCGGGATGGCCTCGGCCAGCTGCGGCCGCTCCCGCCCTTCCTTGGGCTCCAGAGTGAGCTAGCTCCAGGCCAGTCATGAAGGCCTAGAACTTTCTGTCCCCTCACCCTCCACTAAGTCCCTCCTCTGGGTCCCTAGTACTTCCTCCACCCAAGTGTTAAACGCCTCCAGCATTTGCCCGTGGCCCACATATGAGGACAGGGAGGGCTCAGAGCCTTCTGGAACTGCCGTGGGCTCCCTGCAGGCCTTGGCCCCTGGACTGTATCATGATGCACAGGCACCAGAATCCACTCCCGCTGCTTCCCCAGACGCCCAGCCTTCTCCCCTCCTCTCTGGGCTGAATGCAGCCATATCACAACTTTAAGGAAGGGGTTAGGGATTTGCAGGAAGGAGTGCGGTTGGTGTGCGGGGGTCACTGAGCCACACTGGGTACAGGGGGCTGAGCATGACTGTCCTCCAAGGCTCTGGTCAATCCTGGCCTTAAGCGAAGGCCATGACATTCATTGTGGATTATGATGCTCAGATCCATCAGAAAAGTCAGCACTGTCTCAGACGTTCCGATTAAATCTTGACAGCCCCACACACAGGGTAAACACAGTGTGTGCACATACCTCTCCACCCCAGGCAGGGCCTGTGCACTCCCGTGCCTCCTCACTTCGGGCCCAGTGAAGACTCCCCATCTCAGATGAGTCTCCCCATTGTCTTCTTGATCCCCATCACTGACCCCCAGATAGCCACGTCTGGTCGTCTGGTCGACCCGAGATTCTCCTGAAAAGCCTCCTCCGGCACAGCCGCTCAGGCATGGAGACTAGCGGGGACCATGGAGCCGGCCCACCCCAGCACTCTCTCCCTGCCTCCTTCCATCCCTGCTCCGTTCGAGTCTCTGGCTTTGAGAGCAGGGAGCTGTCGGCTGTGGCCTTCTCTAGGACAGGACCTCAGATCCTGCTCGGGCTCCTGTTTCGGGAACAGACGCTGAGGGGTCCTCTCCAGTGCCCATGTCAGGGTGGGAGATGGTGCCTCCCCACTCAGGGCGTCCGCAGGCGCCCTCCTGTGGGTGTGCTAGCCTAAAGAAGGCCCCAAGACCCCCCTGTGAGGCCCCCTCCCCCTCCACGGAGGGGGCTCAGCTCACCCACTCGGCTGCTGACCGGCTTTCCCTCCGCTCCAGCTACAACGAGTTCTACTTCCTGACGCATCCCGCACTGTTCATCGAGGACCACTTCCCCGACAACAAGAACTGGCAACTGCTTAAACCTCCTCAGTCCCTGAGGCAGTTTGAGAACAACATGTACCACAAGAGTGAGTTCTACAACAAGGGGATGCTGAGTGCCCACCCGGAGACTCCCGTGATCAGAACAGGTAACGCCGGGACAGGTGGCTGGTACCTGGCCGCAGGGGCCCTGTCCTTCCAGGCCCGTGAGCTCGGAGTAAGCTGTGTGTGTGGTGGGGGGGGTGTGCGGGGGCCACTGAGGAGCCGAGGCTGTCAGGCCATCGGTCACCCCTGCAGGGCCAGAAGCCCGCTCACACCAGCACGAACCACGAAGAGGCTGTGGTGGAACCTGCAGGGCTCCCGCCAAGGGCTGCACTCAGCCCAGCCTGTTGGGCAGCTAGAGCTGAGTTCCCCACGCTGGCTGAGCGCACCCAGCTCACGGGCAGGCAAGGACAGCCGCGGCCCTGGCCGAGCCGCCCCCCAGTTCAGAAGCTGACTGCCCTGCTGGGTTCTCTTCTCAGACCCCTGGCAGGGAGCACGGTTGGCCCAGCCGAGTCCACATCTGTGTGTCAGTGGTCTAACCGGACAGCCAGGAAGGGCAGGGGTCTCCGAGGACCAAGGGTGGGGGGAGGCTGTCTTAGGGAGGTGGCTGCTGGGCTGGGTCTTGGGAGCTGGAGTAGCGCAGGCATTGTGGTGCATGTGGACGGACCTGTTCCAGGAACGAGCTCACGCACCCCAAGCCGGGCCAAGGCTCCAGAGGGCAGTGCAGCCTCCTCAGTGCCCGGGATGCCTGTTGGCTCATCTGGTCTGGGCTCCTCCCTCCTTCCAGGCAACAGGACCCAGCCTTTTCCAGCTAGCTTCCCAGGGCTGGCAGAGCAGAACCCCAGCCGGGCTGCCCCCATGGCTGGCCTGGAGTGACATTTGTGGCCCACCTCCCCATGGGGACCACACAGGCAGCCAGCAGGGTGTGTCTGCACACTGTGAGGCCTTTGGGGGCCAGCTCCAGGGGGCCAGCACTGTGGGCCTCACAGGACTGACTCCAGAGGACGGTGTCATGCATCCTCAAGTCCCTGGTGCCTGGTTCTGGGCTGGGCATCTGGCTAGACACGCCACTCGGCTCAGCACAGCGGGGTCACTGCTCCCCCACTTCAGCAAAGGACTGCCTCCCTGTCCTCTCCCTCCCTGCTACCCGGGGGCCTGTGTACCCTCAGGAGGGAAGGCAGAGCTTGTGGGTGCCCCACCTCACATTGCAGGGGTGTTGGGGGCACCTGGGAACACAGGCTGAATTCTAACCTACCTTTTTATTTTTTTAGTCCTCACCTGAGGACATTTTTTGATATTTTGTTCAGATAGAGTGGGAGGGAGAGAGAGAGAGAGAGAAATATTGATGTGAAAGGGACACATCGAGTGGTTGCCACTCACACGACCCAACCAGGACCGGGGACAAACTGCAACCGAGGTACATGCCCTTAGCGGGAACCGAACCCGGGTCTCTCCAGACCGCAGGGAATTCTGGCATACTTTTTACAACTACAATACCTGGCGGCTCCTGCTGCCAAAATCACAGCAGGAGGCCTCTCTCTTGGAGGAGGCCTGTCCTGAGCTGGAGGCAGGATGGCCTTGTGCCTGGGGTCTTCGCAGGTGGGGAGCCTGCTGTCTGGGGGGGCCGTGGAGCCACAGGAAGAATGGGCCAGGCCACACCAGCATCCACTGAGTTGAATTTGCCCTTTCACATGACCAAAATGTAAACACTAGGTGCTTTCATAGATAGTAATCTAAAATTTGATTCCATATTCGTGATGCATATTTAAAGACTGTCACTGGTTGGAGCTAGGTATGCTAAGAGTGGGGATGGGAAGGAAGGAGAAGAGGGAAACAGGTACATGAGGCAGGACAGGAAGAGAACACAGGACAGTGCGGGGTGGAAAGCCACTGAGGGCCAAGGAGAGGGGAGGGGAGGAAGGGAAAGGGTGCAAAGGAGGTCACAGGCTCCTGCAGTTCCCAGGGGTCCCCAGCCCTTTATTTCAAGGCTTCCCAGCCATACCACTCACCTGACCCCTCTGGGTGGGCCCCCTGGCCACAGTGCCCACACCCGACAGGGAGGACAGACACGACACAGAACAAACGTGACAGCAGTGCTCAGTGCCCCTCGCAGGGGCGAGCGGCCTCCAGGGCTCAGCCTCACTGAGGAGTCCGGAAGGCTTCTCGGCAGCCAGGTCTTACTCGGAGGGAAGCAGTGGAGGGGAAGAGCGGCTGAGAGGGTCCTGGGTCTGAAGGGAGTGCCCCTGGGGGACGCGGGAGGACGCCCTGTGGCCCCGAGGAGGAGGCCCTGGCGCTGGCGAGGCTGGAGGGACAGCCCCACAAGGTTCCCCGGGTGGATGGCGCCCGCAGAAGTCAGCCAGGAGGGCAGGAAGGACACCTCTCAGGAGCCCTCAGGCGGCCTGTGCAGGCGCGGGGCGTGTTCCGCCATCAGACGTGAACTGCAGGGGCGCCTCACAGCCGCTCTGCTGTCCGCTGGACCGGACAGGCCATGAGCAGTTGAGACTGGGACAGCTCTGCCCACTGATCCGGCGGTTTAGAAGAGGAAGTGCGGGGGAAGCGTTTCAACCTAAAGAGGATAACAAGTCTTTTTTGGTCACTTTCTTTGGAGGTTACCTTGGGAAGGATGTCCCACAGGTGCTGAAGGCCGTAGACAAAAGTATAGACAAAGAAAATAGCACAAAAGCACAAAGAACCCCACAGTTAGTGCAAGAAAAGGGAAGGAATGACAGCAGAGATCAGGTGGCAGTCAGAGGGACAGGAAGAGCGCCAGGCTGGAGCAGGTGGCACACCCAAGGGGCGGAGAGGACTTCCGGAAGGGCATGGCCAGCAGCCTAGTTCTCCAAGAAAGTCACTGAGGACTTTGGGGAGTGGGGACGGAGGCCAGATTTCAGAAAACCAAACGGGTAGAGGGAAGGTGCAGAGGGGAGGGTTTGGGGAGTGAGAGGCAGGGGAAGCTTCCCAGGTGGAGGAGCCCCATGAAGAAAGCAGAGGGGAGGGGCCGACGGCTCCCTTCCCTGTCCCGCTGCCTGCCTGCGTGGGAATTCTCATTCCCAAGTTGGGGGTTGGCACTGAATGCAGTAGCTGGAATCGGGGTTGAGGCGGCTCGTGGCAGATTAAATGGGAAGTCTCGGGGCACTTGTCCTAGAGCCTGGTTGGCTTTCCGCCTCCCCAGCAAGAGCACTGGCACCCCAGACTTGGGTGAAGTCACTGTGAGCATGGATCAGACAGCCTGTCTCCCTCCAGTGTGACCACCCATGCGCGGGGCCGGGGAGGTTGCTGGAACAGGACCAGAACAGAGCGCTGACCACCTGTCCCGAGAAGTAATTACCAAGAAGGGGGATGATACAACTGCAGGGTATGGGGCAAGGCAGAGGGAGGGTCAATGCCGAAGACCCTCCCTCGCACCCACTGACTCTCCCCGCCACAAACACGGCTGAGACATGCCCATGAGAGAAGCAAGGGGTGGGCAGGGGTGGGCAAGGAGGCAGCCCCTCCCTCTGAGCACAGTCCGCAGGAGTGAAGCCATTCCAAACAATTTTTAAGGAAATGTGTCGACAGGACAGCTGCTGACACTGTGGTGAAGAGATGCTGGAGGGAGTGGTGTGAAAGCAAGGCTCAGGACTTGGAGGAGATGGTCAGAGGTGGCTGTCCACCCAGCGCTCCGGGCCCTCCTTGCTCCGGGCCCCCTCCCCCGCTCTGAAGCAGACTAGGCCTCCTTGCGCCTTCATCCAATGTGAATCAAATGAGGACAGTTAGCACATACAGCTGGGGGCAGATATCTTTCTTAAGACCCCAGCTTTCAAATCCCCCAAAGAGAACCGCCTAAAGGGGGTAAGGGGACCCTTCCAGTGGTGTGCTGCAGCTGGCTTATGTCATGTTCAGGGACATCACATTGGATGCTTAAAACCAGTCATGGGGAAAGTATTTACACCATGGAAATGGGCCAGCACTACAAGTCAGGGCTTTTTCATTCAGAGAGCCAGTTGTTAAACATTTGCCTGCCCGTCATCACAGCCCGAACCCATCTCACTTGACCTTGGCTTTCTCTCCACAGTGAATGGGAAGGCCACAATCACCATAGAGAGCTGTGCCCCAACACTGTTCATGTTTATGCTCAATGGCAAGCAGGAGCACGGGCTGCTGAGCCTCCAGAAGAACGGGATGAAGCTGGAGGTCTACCCTCCAACCATGGGCACCCACAAGCTGCAGATCTTTGCCAAAGGCAACTCCGACATCTACAGCTCCGTGCTGGAGTACACACTCAAGTGTAACTACGTGGACTTGGGTATCCAGCTGCCAGCTGAGCTGCACCAGCCCGTGGGCCCCAGTTGGTTCTCGGAGCAAATGGGCATCCTGAAGCCCTCCCACCCTGACCCCATCATCCACACCAGTGATGGGCGCTGCTGTGTCAGCTTCGGCGTGGAGGAGGGCATCAGCGTCCTGGCTTCCCTGCATGGGGACGACGGCCCCATCACCGAGGAGACACAGCGGCGCTATATCTTCCAGCTGCACCGGGAGAAGCGGATAGAGCTGAAAGTCCAGCTGCCCCATGCCGGCAAGTTTGCCCTCAAGATCTTCGTCAAGAAGAGGCAGGAACCGGGCAACTACGTCTTTGTCTTCAATTATCTCCTGTGCTGTACCAACACCAAGGTGAACTGGCCCATGTTCCCTGAGAGCTTTGGCAACTGGGGGCAGGACAATGAGCTGCTGGAGCCTCTGTCGGGCGTACTGCCCGCCAATCGGAACGTCTCGTTCAAGTTGAAGCTGCACGGAGTGGCCAAGGCTCTGGTGAAGGGGCAGGACACGTGGCCCCTGACCCTGAATGGCGAGGGGTACTGGGAGGGCAGCTGCAGCACGGCCGGCTGCCAAGAAGTCTATGTCATGGTGCTGGAGAACGCCAACCACAACTTCTATTCCTACATCCTGAAATACAAAGTGAACGACCAGTGAGGGCCCGAGCCCCGGGCCCCCCTCCAGGGAGGGCCCAGGGGAAGTGCAGAGAGCCCCGGACACCCCTGTATCTGCATGAAATCCCTTCTAGGCCTCTGCCTCCACCTCCCTGCTCTGCCACAGGAGCTGTGACGTTTGTGTTCTGATGGCTTCACCCCGTTGTGGCGATGGCCGATGGCCAAGGGGACAGAGGCAAAGGCCCTTTAGAAGAAAAAGGTGCTATGTAAATCCAAAGCATTGTGAACTGTCCGCCGCTGCCCAGACGCCCCCTTCTCGTATTCATGCTGTCGTCGTTGTTATAGGGTTGCTGTGGGACAGCTGGGGTGTGGCCCAGGCTGAGAGCTCTCCACGAGACGGTGAGAGAATTTATTCTCCTTCAGGCCCCAGAGGGACGTGATTTGCAAGGATGAGTCCTCTTCGATCCCAGAGCCCTCCCAGGGGCATGACAGTGTTTCTCACCCACTCCTGCACCCCAGGGAAGGACCACCTTCCACATTCCTGCTGCCTCTTCATCAGGTGCTTCTTGCTCTTCGGGAGCCCTGGGGGACAAGAAGGTGTGAAGAGGAAGCCAGCACCCCCAACCGGCTGGAGGCTGGCGGCCCCCACCTTCCCCGTGTGTGCGGAGAAGTTCCCAGGAGACTGCGAAGCAGGGAGAAGCCGTGCTCCGTCCTGGGTGTCCTGGGGGGGCACCACGGCAGTCTCGCAGCCTGAGTCTGCAGGATGACACCCCCGGCTCTACTCTCAGAGGGGCGCCGGACAGCTGGCTCCATTGGGAGCGACCCTCCGGGCCCTCTCCGAGCCTGCCCCCTCACAGGGAGCCTGCCAGCGCCTGGGGAGCCTTGTCGGTAACCCTAAGTAGAGACCTGGGCAGAGAGGCCAGGTGGGGGAGCATTGCGACACTACGATGCCAAGTAGACCCCCAGATTATAGGGCTCCACAGGCCCCCGGGAGTCCTGCCAGCAAAGCCACAGCAGGGGGACCTCAACTGGCCCTGGGAGCAGTCCCTCCCCATCTCCCTTCCTCCCTTTCTCTGACAAGAGAAACCCTCGGGGTCCCACCTTCTGTGGGGACAGTTCAGAGCCTCTTGCTTGCTCAGGTCCGAGAGGCCGCCACTGCCCAGCTGGCCCTCAGCAGCACCTCTGGCAGGCATCGCCATGGCAACAGTGAAAGGCTGGCTCCAGTGAGGGCAGTGGAGAGGGAAGGATGGAGGATGCCCCCGTGGCTGACGCATCACCATCCTGGCACACAGAGCTTCTCGAGGTGGGCCCTGCTGACCTCCTGGCACCGCAGCTCTGTGGCCTCTGCCTATCTCAGTGCCCCGCCGCCGCTGACAGCCAGCACTGCCCATCACTCTCCCCCACTGCCACTCCAATTGCCCCCAGGCTCAGCTGCAACCAGGGCCAGCCGGGGGCCTCACAGCCTCCTCTGCCTGCGCCCTCACCCTTGTGTATTCAGCTGACGTCTGGGGCACTACTGTGCTGCATGCTGGGGCTGCAGAGGAAACAAGGGGCCCTGCCCCTGCCATCCCAGAGCCCAGGGCGGGTGGCAGCAGCCTCCTCACCCTGACCTGTCTGAAGTTCTAGGCTCCCAACTCTTCAGTCCATCATCCCCCTGGGCTCCCTCCCCAAAGTTCCCCACAGCCACCCAGCATGGACCTGGCCCAGAGCAATGTCACAGCAGTGCCCATCCTCCACCAGGCTAGAGGCCCTGGGACAGGAGGGGGCACCCCCATGGGGGCTGAGTTTCCCTGCCTTCTGGCAGGGTCAGCACCATGTCACTCACCTGGAGAGCACTCAAAAGCCCAGGAGAAGGAACCACCGCGCACCACAACAGGTAAAAAAGGGAACTCTTTACACCCTGAAAGCAGCCTTTTCTCACACCTTTGATTTTATGGGCTGAAAGAAATGTGCTGTTTCATCAAAATAAATAAGTGCCTTCAATGAGTCATGTCACTCACTGGACCCAGAGCTGGCTGCCTCCTACTGAGAAGGACACGCATCTTTTTTAAAACAATATATTTAATCAATATGTTCTGGAGCATGCAGATGATGCCACCCAGCAAAACAGGAGCTGTCTGGAGAACGGAGACAGAGGCCCAGCCTCTCAAAGTGCCTGCAGGGCATCTGAGTGCCCTTCCCTCATCTTTTACTCAGGCAGCCCCTTTGTAAGACAACTGCAGACACCGTCGGAAAATCACCTGCATTTCTCCCCACTGAAGTAAAAATACATGAAATGAAATCCCATATTCATGCATTTTTACACGCATGCTGCTCAGGGTAGGATTTGGGGTTGCATTTTGAAGTCTTTTATTCAAATCTGCGGCTTTGTTTCCTGGTCCATGAGTCCCAGCAGCCGGTGGAATGACACGGACGCCCCCTGGTGCCCGACGTGAGGAGCTGTCGTCGCTGCACATCGCGAGACTGAACCTATCGCCAGGGTTTTTCCGCAGAATTTGTAAAATGCTGCTGCGATATTTGTTAAATTCACTTGGTGCTCTCTCGTGGCTTCTCAGTGTTTCCTTGTGTGTGCACCGAGCACATTTTTGCCACGCACAAGCTGTGAAGTGAGCGTGGGGGACTGCCTAGCGAGAAGACACAGAATATAATAGGATGTGGGCATGCTTGGCCCGGGAATCCCGTCTTGAAACAGAAACACTGGACATAAGACAGGATGGGACAGCTTTGACCACACTCATGACTATACCAGTAAAGGACTGAAGCCGATCAAACCCAGAGATTTGGCCGGCCAGTCCCAGGATGGCCAGCCCTCAGGCCACAGGTGGAAGGGTGCGGAGGGTCCCCAAGGGAGGGAGCATGCTCCCGCAAGCAGGCTACAACCACAACTGCAATTAACTTCTTTTCAGCATGTTTCAAAAGCGGCACCAGCGCAGCTGGACTCCGTTTGCAGTCTGATTGTGATCATTGTGAGCTCCCCATGTGTTACATTGTCCCACCAGGACAAACTCCGCACACACAGCCTGCTGAGATTAAAGGGAAATAAATAGATTAACTGAAGCTTGAAGGATTTAGGCTAGACATAAAGAACTGTTTCCTGTAGTTGAGCAGGAGGGACGCGTTGCTGAGAAAGTTTGTGAAATCCTCTTCTCTAAAGGACTTGGAAAGTGGAAAAGTTTTCCCAGTGGTCTGGGGTTTGGAAGCCACACCCACTGCAAGGACTAGGTTTTCAACAGACCTGTTAACCTTGAAACACACGTACTTGATCCCCTGCCGCAAACAGGGTGAGCGGTGTGGCGGAGTCCTTTGCTATTGGCAAAGTGTTCCGCGGTGGCGAGCATCTGTGTCCCCCACCAGTTTATCTGAGGTCTATCATGTTTTCTCCTTTGGAACTACTAGTCGGACATCTGTAAGAGGTGGTTACTTTTCATAACGCGTGCATCGGGGTGTGTGGGCCGGTAGCTGTGGAGTATGCTTTTCCCACATTGTTGCTGGTGTTGTTTTTCAATAAAATTTATATTCATTTGTATCCAACAATGTAATTATCGATCCATTCTTATCATTGCTCTCACAAGAGGGGGGGGGGAATACACACACACAGGAAGAAACACTTTCATGTTCAAAGGAAGCCCTAGGAAAAAAGAAAATCAATGTCCCAGCCATTTGAATGTGATGGTGAGATGCAAATGGAATGTCAGGCAAATAGTGATTCCACATTAAAGAAAGCGTAATTAGGTTAGCTCCGGCCCCTCTCTGGCGCACACGCCTTTGAAGAACATGAAGGCGGCATTTCTTTCATTGAATCTTGTTTAACTTGAAATTTTTAAAGTCAATCCTAATTTCTGTTTTTAGTGGGAGAGAGAGAAAAAAATCTCCCCAAAATGCCTATCACCCTACTTTTTTTGTTGTTTTGAATATACATAAATATATATTTCTTGATATTCATGTACATGGAGAAACTTTCCAGCAGGCTTTCTAAACAGATTATTCATAAATGAGACATTTAGGGAAATATAGAAAATGAAAATCGAGACACTTCTAGGAAACTGCCGTAACCATGGAGACCATTCTCCTAGCTGTGGTGTGAAGGACAAAAAGAATGTGTGTTCCCAAAGCCGGCCCCGTGGTGGCCCTCAGCGGCCAGATCCAGGATCGTGATGAGTCCCGGCACGCTTCTCCTTTGAGAGGAGGCCCGCAGGTGGACTGTGTCTTTAACAGCATATTTAAGGGACATCAGAAGAAACAGTCTTCCACATAACAGAAGGAGGAAACTCTCAAATTATTAGAAGAGTCTGAAAATGCCAACCCCGAGGCTGAATGGACGACCTCTAACGTCCCTTCCAGTCCGGAGAGTCTGTGATGCTGTGTCTCCGAGAACAGATGCTGGCAGGCAGTAGACCTGGGACTGTCAGTTGCGGGACATCTGAAGGGCCCTGCTGTGTTAAGAGCCTGCCCCGCAGCCCCTAGAAGAGTGTGCTGCTGGCTTCCCTCCTGCCTGAGGGCAAGGGGCTGGAGAGAGCCCGGCCTCAGGACCACGAGGGAAGCAACAGCCCTGAAAGAATGTTGCTTCTCTCTGATTTTGCAGAACTAAAGAAAACTGGAAGTCAGGCAGCAACAGAGGTGTCCTCTCTTGGATGTCTCACAGGCATCTGAGTCAAAAGAGAATGAACCAAAGTCACTTTTCTTTCCCAGATTACCACCAACTCCTCCTGGGCCCCCAGTGCAGTAAATGCACCCCCCCCCCAGGTACCTAAGTCAAACCCCTGGTGGCCACTAATGACCACCCCGCCATCCCCCCACCACCCACCCCCAGTGATGAAATCTGGTCTGTGCTGGCTGTGTCTCCTATCTGACCTACTCTTCCAACTCCATGTCCACTCACTGCACGGCCTTTGCCAATAGCCAAGCCCTCCTCATATCTCCGTTACACTGTTGTGGTTGCCGCCTGTGATGGTATGAACCCTCCACCCGCCCCAGACTCCCCATGCTTCCTCTTATATGAACTCCAGGACTACTGGGTTGTGTTGGGACCAGGTTTCCGTGAAAGCCTTCCAGAAGAAGTTTGCCGTCTATGAAGAAGGCATAATTTGTGTCAGGCACTGATGGAAAAGGTAGGTCTTCAAACAAAACTGATTTTACTGGGAGGCTCCTTTTTCTGGGCTCTGCCGTCTTCACTCCCAGGTGATAGTGTGTAGGGTGGCTCTGAGCACCACAGCCGATGGGGATCTGAGACAGGGTGCAGCGGTGCAGCCCCGAAGGTGATAATAGGTCAGATTGTCCAGAGGAGAACGGCCACCAGAGAATGTCCACCCTGCTGGTGACGGTGGGTGACAGAGGACGCTCAGGGACTCTTTGGGGCCACAAATAGTTTTATGGAATTTCCTTTTCTCGATCTAATTAGGATTCCTGCCCAGATTTCTCCCACCACCAGCCCTGTTTAAAGGAGATCCTGTAACCTATGCTGGGTGCTTCTGTTGAAAAGTACACAGATGAAGCTGAAGGCATCTGCTGGTCCCACTCAAACCAAGCCCAACAAATAAACCTTTCTGCAAGAAAGCTCCTAAACCCCAGGAGAACATGCCGTCTTAGGAAAGAACTGTGGAAAGGCGAATCTTTGATTATTTAAGAGCAAAATGCATAAACATTTTCTACCCTATGTGGGACTATCTTCAGGAGAGCTGCTATTTTAGAAAGCAATGCTCAAGCGAAGCCAGAGCTTCCTCGAGCAAGGTTGTCCTCGGGGCTGATTCTCTAGGGAACACCTGCGGGGTGAGGTGTCCGAGACAAAGAGCCTGGAGGTTCTTGGTGTATCTGGTGGCAAAGCTAAGTCATGAGGGTTTGAGAAGGAGAAGGAAACTCAGACAGGGCCTGCCAAGTGGTTTGATGCCTTACCTTAAACCAGCTTTCCAGATGTTTGGCCACTGTTGCCTGGTTAAGAAGGATTCTGAGGTCACATCGAGCTCTGCAGGAAAGAGTGTTGTGATTAGCTAGCAATCCACGGACACACAATTGAAGTGAGGTATGCCATGCATGTGCCAATCCTGACTTCAAGGCAGACAAATCAGGCTAAGACCAAAATAACAAAGGAGGTTATTCAGATCCTCGGGCGAGCCCCGGCTTCCCAGCAGCCTAGCCCACTGACTGACAACCCGTCAACTCCAAGTCATGGGCTCCGGGAGGACGCCACCCAGCGTGCCCACCTTAGCACACAAGAGCACGGACATGTCACTCGAGGAGGAAGGAGCCCGAGCCAACCTTGTTAGCTATTTCATCGCCATGATCAAACAATACCTTGCATTTGGAATAAGTGATCAGTAAATGTTTGAAGTGAACATCAATTTGCCGTTTCAAAAATGAATTCATACATCACTGGATTTATTTACATGGCTGTTGACCAAAAAGACTGTTGAGTTACAACCTCTAAATAGTCATGTCCTCCTTCATTCCAGTTCGCGGACACAGCACAGGCCAGGCGGCGAGCTCCCGGGCCCTCTGGGAAGTGTGTTTACAGGGGGAGAGACGGCCACCTGGCTTGGCGTGCTCGCGGTGTTCGCCTCCACGAAGCAATCAGGGCAACTGATCGATCCGAGGGGCGCTTCTTCTCGGGGACTCTGCCTTCAGCTCCTGCTGGGATCGCTTTGTTTCCATCAGGGGCACAGCTGACTGCCTTTGTGACACAAGGAATCAGCCATCATTTCACCCCGGCTGTGCGGGGACCGAGGCAGGTGCACCCCTCCAGGGTGGCAGGGAGGGCTGTGGAGAAGCTTGTGGAGTGCGGGCAGCGGGGCAGCCACACGGTGAGTGACCAGGCACAATGGGGCACCTAATGTAGCACAGATGGTGGGAGTGAGGGGCCCCTGGCAGCTCCCACATGCACAAAGAAGGGTGATCAGGGAAAATAAGGAAATGTCTGTTTAATGCAAAATGAATGCAGAGTTGCAAACTGCCCAGTGAACGCTTTGCGATGTATTTGTATGTATGTGAGCACCCGGAGGATCTGAATTAACATTTTATGATATTATGAAAAATTAAGTGTAGCCAAGATGCCAGAGGCATTCGGAGGCTGTTCCCCACCCCCATATCCTCTGACCGCCGCCTGGGGGCTGGGACGAGCGTGGGCACCAGGCACGCTTGGCATCCACTTCATCAGCACCAGACCCCCTTCCGTCTCCCCGGAGAAACACAGTGAGGAGAAGAGTAACCTGGTCAGGGGAGGAAGTCCACTCTGACAGTAAAAGCGCTGCTTGACATTTTAAAAGCTCAATGACAGTGTTAAAAAATCACTTCTGAAAGAAGCCAGTGGGGAGTGGAGAAATGGGAGGAGGGCATGGGAGGTACATGGTGATGGACGGAGACTTGACTTGGGGTGGTGAACACACAATACAGTGCACAGATGATGTGTTGTAGAATTGTGCACCTGAAATTGGTATAATTTTGTTAACCAGTGTCACCCCCAATACATTCAATAAAAAGGAAAAATAAAAGAAGCAAATAGGCTTCTTTCTGGAAAGATGGTCTCTCAGCCGCAGGCTCCTGTTTGACTAAAAGTCAGGAGCCCTTACTGTAGGATCGAAGGTTCTGCTTCCTTCTCCAAACGAGGATGTAACTGGGGAAGCCTGCGGCTAGCTGGGGACCCTCCTCACAGAGCTCAGCGTCCTGAGGCTGGGGAGGCCGGGGTCAGACCCTGTGGGACACAGCGGGAGGGTACACGGGTAATAGTGCTGCCCCTGCCTGTAATCGGCCACACCACCGGCACCTACCCCAGCTCTGCCACCCCTCAGAGGCCCTTGGCAAGTTACTGAACCTCCTGTCTTAGCTTCCTTCAAAGTAAAATGTGACTGACACTCAGAGCCCTGACCATGTACATTTCTTGTGGGGATGGAATGAGTTAACACTCCACAGGGCACAGAACTGTCCCCGGCACATAGAAGTGCTCAGTGAGGGTGAGCGGCCATCACCCCCATGACACAGTTGTCACCCACATTATGAGGATGATACTGACATGTTGTGTGTTGTTCCCTGAGGAATCCAAAGGCCCGGGCCCCTCATGAAATCATAGAACTCACTGATTTCAGGCTCTAAGAAAAGAAATCCTGTTTCCAACGCCTGACCACCCTGCCTCTCCTAGAATCCTCCCAGAGACCAGGAGCTCACCACTCTGCAAGACAGCTGTTGCATTATTAGACACCTCTGTTCCAAAGGCCCTCCCTCACACATAACTGCCTTCAATTGGACCAGGTGAGCCAACCTGCCCACTGACTCATAACCTTACCTATTCTGTTCAGGACCACCATGTGGCAGGAGACCTGAGCCACCCGTACAAAGCCTGGATCCAGTCTGGGTTCTGGGAGCCAGGTAGAACAGCTGTAACTTAGAGAGAGAAAAAGAAAAGGAAAATCTCCCACTCAAGAAGAACTGCAAACCAACATCTGAAACCACAGAAAAACAATAATGATTAAAAATATATACAGTGATACCTCGGTTC